AGGAAGCAATGAGGCTAAATCCTCCAGCGCCTTTGTTTGATAGAATATGCGGTGAAAATTGCAAACTTGGAGGATATGATATACCCAAAGGAATCACAATGATAATGAACGCATACTCTATTATGAGGGATCCAAATATATGGGAAAACCCCAACGATTTTATACCAGAGAGGTTCTTGACTGAACAGGACAACGCCAAGGGGCAAAACTTACAGGTTTACCTCCCTTTTGGTGGAGGAAGGAGAATGTGCCCTGGGACCAACATGACCTCAAGTTTGATTAATTGCAGTGTTACAGCTATGGTTCAGTGTTTTGATTGGAAAGTTCTCGGTGGAGATGGACCAGATGGATCGAAGGTTAACATGGACTCCAAATCAGGCGTGGTAAAGACCATGGCTAAACCATTCATGGCCGTTCCTGTTCTCCACCGTAACCTATTTTCTGCTTAAAACCCAGTCTAAACACTTGTTCTTCTTAAGTTCTAGTTCCAAGTATCCACTCTCAATACAAATCACCCTCCTCTATGCCAGTCAGTGGTTCTGTGTTCATCTTCCAAGGTTTTTCAAGCTAGTAAGGACAGACCACAGTACGTCGAGATCTGTCCTCTTTCCCTTGCTTTATGAGATGTGGTTGTGTTTATGAGTGACAATCAGTCCTCATCAAGAATCAAAAGTTGCAATCTCCAGCGCAAATCAAGGAGAAAATATCAGAGCCAAATTCAAGCACAAATCAGTGATTGTTATCCATCCATCCAAATCGCTGAAAGTTTGGCATTCTTGTACATCAGAAAATACTCCCTTTTTTTTTTTCCTTACTATTTATAGGTATACAAATTCCATCTATTATATGTTTCTCAAAAGATTAATAACAATTGTCACTTTTCACCCTTGGCTATTTTCTATATAATGTTTAGATCTTTTTTCTGAGTTCATGTTACATTTGATGACTAGTTGCTATCATTGGTGGGTGATTTCTGGTTTTTTTTTTTCTTGGGTAAACATAAAAAATGCCTCCATTATCTCAATTTTCTATCAAATATATTTTATATCAATTTTATCATTAATTTTTTATAAATTTTAAATTAAAAGGTTTTCATCAATTATTTTTTCATTGAAATTATACACTTGTAATTAAAAAAAAATACTAGCATCTATATTAGGCAAGTATAAACACTTGCATAAGTAATTAAAACACAATTTTAACTTGTATACTAAGCAAAAGTATTTGATAGTATACTTGCTTGTTGAACCACTTAGAATATGATTAAGTTAAAAATTATTGTTTTCAAATATAATTTTTTTATCTTTAAGATTTTATTGTTTTTCATTGGCAAATAAAATGTATATAATCATCTTCTCATGTTTCAAACAATACTTGTTTAGAATTACTTTTAAATAAGATAGAAACTTTAGAAATTTGATTCAAATAAATCTCTCCAAATACTCATCCTTAACTCTAAAGTAGAAGAAAAACAGAGAAACCTGAGCTTAAAAACATAGGAGAATAAGAGTATCAAAAATTCAAGTTTAGAACACTTTTATAATGATTTTGAAATTAAAATTGATATAGAAGAAATTCTGGTAATTATCATAATAAACCCTTCCATTATTAGCCTTAATTACCTGCCATAAAACAATATTAAATCTAATAATTTTGGCTTTAAATATAATTTTTTTGTGAAGGAAAACAGTTCAAGTTGATGGAGAAGAAAACTAATTTGTTCAATCTTTTAGTTCATGTCCTTGATAAACTAATAGTTTTAAAAAAATAAAAATTTTATGGATGAAAGAATTATAAATCAAAATCTAAGCCTATGGATTGGCAGCAAAGAATAATTCTTATATAGTGTTAAAAAAAATTAATTAATAACAAACTGAAACTCAGATCAAAAGGCTCAGTCATGAGTTGAGTGGGTATAGTTCAAGTTTAAAGTTCATTTTACTTGAAGCTCTCTCATCTAGAAGTTATGTGCAATTTAGATCAACTTTTCTTGGACTATAAAAGAATTAATTTTTAGACTAATAATTATTCTTGGTTCATGAACTTAAAAAAAAAAAAAAAAACATTAATTTAAATCTCTCTCTACAATAACAGATCCTCGGCTCTAGAGTACGAGGAAAAACATAGAGGAATCAAAGCTTAAAAACAAAAGAAAATAGGCTGAGAACAGAGTAGAAGAAGAGTGTCAAAAATTCTGTAATAGTTTTTCTGAAAAAATCTTTCTTCATCCTCTTTTTACAATGTATGTTGGAAACAAAACTTATATATAATTAATTGTAATAATTATCAGAATATATTCCATTTATTATCAGCTTTTATTACCCATCATAAATAAATATTAAACATAACAATCTAAGCTTTAAATTGATATTTTTGTGCTGAAAAATTGTTTGACGAAGAAAAAGGCTAATTATGAAGTTTTTTATTTATGGGTTAGACAAGCTAATGGGTTAAAAAAAAACTATAGGCTAAAAAATTATAAATATAAATCCAAGTCTAAAATTAGATAAAAATAATTTTTTTGTAATCTTAAAAATTATTTAAAAACATACTCAAACCTAGATGCAAACTTCGCCACAAGTCAAGCATGTTTAGCTTAAACTTAAAGCCTATTTTATTTAAGTCATACAGCAAGAAAATCTTGTTTTTTTTTTTTTGTAATGTGAGATTGAGTTTTTAGGATTCATAAAAATATATTAATCATAAATTTTTTTAAATTAGTTTTTTATTCATTTATAATTTATTTTAATCATATTAATATTTTTTGTTAAAATTTAAAAAAAAATCTCACTAATAGTTTCACCTTAAATATATTTATTACCCATGTTTCAAAATAAAATTTCCAACAGTTACATTGGATGCATATCCTCACTCTATTAATTCTAATTTATAAAATTTCTATACATTAAAAGAAAAGGCAACCCACGTATCAAGCACGAATTACATTCAAACATGTAAAAAATTATGCATCACATTCACAATAGATTTGCATTGGAAAACAGACAAAGACATGTTACAAGAGATAAACTTTAAAAAGATCTAAACCAGGAAGGACATAAAAGAAAGACAGGAAGAAAAGAAAAAACTGGGTCAGATTAAGGTTTGTAGGGTTTACAAGTGTTGCAAATGCGAAGTGATCGACCTCGAGAACATTAAATATAAAGGTCGTGGAAATGATGGGGGTGAACAATTAGTAAGCCAAGGATCAATTTTCAGATACAGAGGAGTGCTGAAGACCATCGAAGGAAGATATATCTTGTTTAATCAACTGTGACTGTGATCCCATGGCGTCATGTTCAAACTTGCTCTCCATCAAATGACATCGGGACTGTAGTGCTTATGGAACATCAATAAATGAATAAAAAACTGGATATTACAAATAACTTCTCTAGCATGCATATTCTGGATTAAGTGCTATAGCCTCGTCATAGATCATATCCTTCATTTGCTCTTCTGCCAGGGGTTGTTGCTCAAATTCGAAGGAGAAAGGATCTAAGCAGACTGGTTCATCCGCTATGTCATGTAATCTTGCAAGGTATGGATGAGCCAATGCTTCTTCAACTGATACAGACAAATCTTGCTTTTAGAAATAAACAGATGGCAGTCTTATCTAATGACAATGACATGTGGAGCATAAATTCCTCCAATAATGTATTTGTGATCATCAAGCTCAGGGAAGACCAGGTTAAGTTAAACACATGCAAAATGAGGTCAAATGCCCACCAAGTGAACTCCCAATAATGAGGAAAATTAACATGTACAGCAGGTAGATTTTACTTGTACCCAATTAACAACATCAACGCAGAAAAAGCTTTCATGACCTTTAACAACATATATGGAGAATATTCATCTCAATGAGAGATTCTTTAAATTGTTTTCAGAAGATGATAAAAATGAGGGTACCAAACTCACCAGTAATTCTTTTGGTGGGATCGAATGTCAACATTTTATCCACAAGGTCAATGGCCAGAGGGTGAACAAGTGGGAAAAGCTCAGCTAATGACCGACGGGGATGCGAGTCAAGTTGCTGGATGTATCTTCTCGCATCCTCATTCCGGACAAAACCAAGATCAGATTCAGTGGGTTTGCCAAGAAGCTGTAGAGAATAAAATTACGATAAAAAATCATTTCACGGTGCACTTAACTTGAATAAAAATTGACACTACAAATTAAACCCTACAGAACAGCTTATCGAGTTCTGTTGAAACACACACACACACATATATATGACAACATAAAATCAACTAGAACCCTGAATTGTTAAAGATAGATGCAAAGCCAGCCAAGATTAACAGCCCTGATCATATATCACTTTCCAAAAATATTAATAAAGAGCATATATAATGAGAGTCAATCAGTACATATACAGCAGTAATAATTTCCAACACTATGGCTGCAGCTGAAGTTAACTCCTTTCCCATTGGAGCAGAAAGAAGAAAAAAACAGTTACGATGTATACTCCAAGCTCTCAACCATAGAAAATAATTATAGATCCTAAACATTATCAAGAGATATTCCACATACAAATTAGTAAAAAACATGCAAACAATACTTGTTTCTCTTTCATCTTACGCACCTCTGTCAATAAGCGCATCTGGTGCACATGATCTCTGCCTGGAAACAGAGGTTTTCTATTCATAAGCTCCATAAAGACGCAACCTACAGACCACACATCTATCGCAGCAGTATAGTCTGAGGAGTTGAGCAATAACTCAGGTGCACGATACCATCTGGTGACAACATACTCTGTCATAAACTCATTCTCCGAAGTTGGCCGAGCTAGACCAAAATCGCATATCTTCAAGTCACAATTTGCATTTAGCAGTAAATTGCTGGGTTTGAGATCTCTATGGATAATATTAGCAGAGTGTATATATTTCAGTCCTCGAAGAATCTGGTACAAGAAGTACTGTACAAATAAAGAAACAAAATAGATATGAGTGTCATCAATTAGACTAATGAATTACATTGCAAAGTTCAAGGAAAACTAAAAACTGAAATGCATTACCTGACAATGCTCCTCTGACAAACCTTGGTTGGAACGAATAATTTGGTGAAGATCAGTGTCCATGAGTTCCGTGGCAATGTAGACATCAGTAAATTCTCTGCGTAGAGGTGGAGGAATGACATCTCTGATACCAATAACCTGTTTTTCATTCAAAAGGTTAGAGCTCACGAAAACTGATTCTAGTACAAGATAACATTTTACATTCCAAATCCAGCAACTGGGCAAGGATGAGCACGTTATTAATAAAATTGGACCTTCAATTTTTGCTACAGGTATGGATAGTGAGAATCCATAATGCAATTTATTTTCTTTTGCTGAGACTAATTAAATTTTCCATTATTTTAAAATTGCCAAAATGTAAATGATCTTTTGAATTGTTGCACAGACAAATTTAAAAAGTTAGAAGCAGCAAAATGAATGAAATGTTGGCTGGGAGAGAGATTATAGTAGAAATTGCAGGATATAATCAAGCTTATTAAAATTAGTAGCGGAAGAAATTCCATCATGATTCCTAAATTTACACAAAAAGCCATTTTATACAAGTTTTAACATATTAATTGGCGACTTAGTAATGTAAAAACAACAACAACAACAATCAGCAGCAGCAGCAGCAATAATAATAATAATAAATTTATATTTCCTCTCTACTATGGTGCTAAATTAAGGAAACAAACAGAAAGCAGTATAAGCAGAGAAGTCAAAGGAAAGAGCCCAGGCACTCACGTTTTCGTGATCCAAATGGCGAAGCAGTTTAATCTCACGAAGGGTGCGCTTGGCGTCCATTTGATTATCAAAAGCGTTGGCTATCTTCTTCACCGCCACCATCTCGTTCGTCTCCGAATTCAACACAGAGCTTTATTAAACAAATAAAATCCTAAT